GGAGAAGCTCGTCTTCTCCGACGAGTTCTCCACCCTGGACCACCACAAGTGGGGCCACATGGTGTCGGCCTGGAGGGGTGGCAACAACGAGTTCCAGTACTACCGCAACAGCAGGAACAACAGGTAAAGCGTGCCCACCTGCCCATGATGAGAAAGAACAAGGAAAACAACAACTAGCGCCAACAAAAGTTACAACAAACCTAACAGATGTGAAAAGAATATTGATATTGTGTATATACACAATATCCTGAACCGTGTATGACACGAGAGCGATCCCTGGTGACTCATATAAGTATGTTGTTGTGTACAGCTACGTACGCGATGGCATTCTGTACCTCAAGCCCACCCTCACTGCAGATGAATTCGGAGAGGACCTCGTGAAGAATGGCATGCTGTCGTATCCCGACTGCAACAAGGAACCCTGCATCTCGTAAGTGAGACGCAGTGATAGCCCATCTGCGTGGGCTTGGCCCGCTCCAGATGCTCTGCTACTAAAAAGTGCAAATAAAGTGATTAATTGTTGCGCGTCAGTTCATGTAACGACACGAATTTTCTCTCCGACGCGCACACAGACAGGCCAGCGCCGATGAGATCGTGCTGCCCGTGCAGTCGGCGCGCATCTCGACGTGGGGGAAGTTCAGCTTCAGGTACGGGCGCCTGGAAGTGCGCGCCCGCCTGCCCAGATGATAGTCGGGCGTTTGGGTGGGGTTGCCTTGGGTTGCCTCGACGTCGCTCGCAGGGACCCCTTGTGGACCATCCAGAAAGTACGTTCGCCTTTCGCCGTTGCAAAACCTGCCTAGTTGAGCCTCTTCAAGCTCTCATGACGCCTAGTAGGTAGGCAACTTCCTGTCTGCAGAACATGCATGTACTGTGGAGTGGCCTACCCCGAGTCTCGCAGGCGCTGCGCTCGCGTAATTTTCCGAATGAATCTGAGAAAAACGGACGTACTTTATGGACGATCCCTTATGCTCCCGTACGCGTATGCAATCCGCCCCAACGCCTGATACAGACTAACGTTGGGTCAGAGGGAAGTCCTGAGCAGTCCGTTTCCAGCCATCTGGCTGTTGCCGCAGGTTGAGAAGTACGGCGACTGTCCCCGCAGCGGCGAGATCGACCTGATGGAGAGCAGGGGCAACGCCAAGCTCACCGACGGCCGGGGCAAGCAGGCCG